AGTAAGCCCGTAGGTATCCTTTGATTTTGGAAACAAGGTGAGTTGATATACGTTTTGGAAAATGTTTGGCTACTGGTATGGATAATATATTTGTAAAATGCCGAACAGATCCTCCGAGAAGTAGTACAAAAGACACTTTTTACACGTCATTTAGAGACAATAAGCTTAATTCACACTACTTTTCCAATAACTCACGCAAAAGAGAAAGCTTGGATGTAATCGTCCTTGAAAATCGTCATATACTGTAATTAAAAACGTAGAAAAACAAGCGAGTGGGCAATGGGTGGACATAAGGGGTCAGGGGTGGTTAATTGCCGGGCATTTGAACAGCCCCATGAGGAACGAGTTGATTGGGTTAAGATAATGTCACCCGTAATGGCCTTTACAGAGGGCACAGACCCAGGGGAAGTTGATGGACTGTGTAATGCGAAACATCGTTCATTCCTGTAATCTATGACAAAGGCGTAGGAAAGTTTCAAAAAGTGGGGGCCAAGCTTGGGGTGTGCTTCAGGAACTTTTTCTGGAAAGCGAGCCCGATAACAGGGGGGGGGGGGGGGGAAGGATGGAAATTTGTATCGCTCTTTATTCAAATGGCATGGCTCCTATGCTAGCTATGCATCTAGAGCTGTTTCTCACTGGTGCACAATATTGCCTATTCGACTCATCTGTCATATGGAAAATAAGGCTATCCAACTTCCCCATATTGTTTGTCCATTTTAACCTTGTTTTTCTTGGGGAGACGAAATTCCACGAGCGGGTAGATATTTTGGGTGAATAAGGAAGTAATTGCCTCCACAGTGTAGATGCAAAAATATGGCATGGATATAGACTGGGGAAAATTTTGAGAGTGGATCGATGGCTCACAGTGCGACAGATCTTTCATACGCCTTCATTTCGCTGGCTGCTTTTCAAGAAATAAGACTTGTCGCAGCATTTTAGGCCGAAACAAATACGGGAGCTTGAAGCTGCTAGAAGCAATGTGACAAAACCCAAAAAACTTGAGATGCTCTTTTAAGATATAATAAAGCCCATCTGTCGTATGCTCCTTATCTAGGCCATGCCCCTGTGCGGCCAATGGTGGTCGCTGTCCTGGCCTGGATGTCTCCCCCATGACTGACTGCGAGCTGATCGTGTGGCTATTTTGTTGCATACTTTTGGATCAGCGTTACTTCGACATTGTCGTATGAAGCATGTGTTGGACACCTGCAACAGTATTCTTCCCGAATTATCTTCACTTATACCACACCATCGCAGAAAAATAGCCTCCGGGAAGCTGTCTGGTTCAGGTGTACATTGCCCGAACGGACACTTCATTGCCCACCATGCAACGTGCGCGACTTGATCTGCTTTTGTGTATAGGCAGGGGCGTAGCCAGAGCCTTGCCAAGAGGGAACACAGGGTTGACAAGAGCCCATCTTATCGTGCCCCCCCCCCCAAAAAAAAAACGGATATGGCTTGCTTGTTAACAAGTGACACGGTTTCTTCGTTTTGTTATTATTTTTCCTTGTAACCAGAACAGAAACCAGGAGCAACCGTGAGCTCAATTCTGTATGCATTTTGAGGTCAATAAACTAAAGCACCGCGAAGTGGGGCTGGATTCTGGTGGCTGAACTGGAAGAGTGCAAGTAAAGTCTCTATATTTCGTGTTTCCGCAGCTATTTATCAGTCCAAAAGACAGATTAACACGGCGCCCGCCGTCTGGTGGCACTCGCAGTGGCCGAAACTTATCGGTTTTACGGAAGTTGCAACCCAGACCACCCTTGTCCGTGCTCTCGAGGCTGCTGGCGGGCATGTTCAAGCCTTTTGATGTGATTTGTTTCAATAATACATTCTGAAAGAAATGAACGTTCTCAGGCAAACATGGCTTGGCCTTGCTCGTTTTTTAAGTGTATTTCGACCCGTACTTTTCGACAATAGTGAGAGCCCCACTATACTCAACAATACTGAGACCCCTTGTTCCCTTCCGGGCAAGGGACCTCTTGAGTAGAACACCAGGAGTACATAAGCTTTTCCGGTCAAGGGCTGAAGGGCCATTCCGTCCCATCGCAAAGTGTCTTCTGGCTATCATTCTGGCGACACGGGGTGGGATCTCCTGGTCGATGCGGAGGTCATTAGAAGGATATATCATATCACATTGTTCCCAACCCTGACACGGGAGGCCTTCTAATCAGCGCAGTTAGCCCTGGATCAGCACAGGGACCCTCTTTGAGGCAACAATATTCCTGATCACCGCAGGCAGTCCGATAGTTTTCACATAAACTCCAGTTCCATGTTTATATGCCAAAGGAAGATATGCCAAAGCTGACGCTTCAGCTGGCCTAAAATGTCAACTAGCCGGGATAAATGATGATGATATGACATGACATAATGGAAATGATATGAAGCGAAGGCTGAATAAGTAGGTGCAGGCTCTGCAATCTGCAACATAGTGCCACGTGATTTAATACTCACGCCTGAAGTGGTGAAATATTTAGAAGCAAAACTGTCTGATTCGTTACCCATCGGCATTTTTTCTGACGTCATTTGTAGCACAAATGGTTTCGCAAGAAAGAGATAACGGGAAAAATCACTCCACCTACGGATTTTCGCACCTTGTGCTAAGTGGGTGCATCACGGCTGGTAGTTAATCAGCTGGCAACCAATACACACTCCGGCACGGGGCGCTATCCCTGCAAAGCAGTTAGAAAAAGAAGATTCCACAATTTTTTAAGATGCCACCATTGCCCGGTTTGAGTTTTGGCTTGATGTCCCATGCTATGCTCGCATCTTGCATGCACCATGCAACAGTCGGAAGACGTTGCCCTTTGTCCTTTTTCTTCCAACTTTGTATCACCTTAAGCAGCCGAGCTTGCCTGAGGTGCTAAAAATTCGTTCAAAGCAGCACTAGGTGTGCTTTAATGGCATCGTCATACACCAGACCGGGGAAATGAATCGTGCCCACAGAGTGCCCAACTTTCTGTTGGTTCACTCGTGCATCCCCTGGGCCTTGGTCTGGCTACGGGGCTGCTCATACATGAAAGAGGTCTTCCGTTTCTGAAAAGGAGACTCTTGATGCACGAAGGGTGCCTCCTAATTTAACAAAAGGCCCTCATAGTTCATAAGGAGGCTTCCTGGTCCGTAAGGAAGCCTCCTAGCTTATAACGGGCATCTCCTAATTATTAACAGGACACTCTACCTGATAACGGGTTCTCCGAGCACATAAAGGGAGCCTCATAGTCAGTACCAGAAACATCTTAGTTTGCAACAGAGGCCTCCTATTTCATGATAAAGCGTCCTAGTTCATAGCGGGGACCTTCTGACTCATAACCGGGCACCTTGTTCACAACGGGGTCTCCTGGTTTATAGCAGGCTCCTCCTACTTCATAATGGGCAGTCTAGTTCAAACATAGGACTTCCTAGTTTATAACGGAGCATCCTAGTTCAAACCGGGGGTCTCCTAGTTCTAAAGGGGGCCCCCTATCTGGTATCTCGGTATCCTAGTTCATAAGGAGCCTCCTAGTAGGTACCGGCTTCCTCCTAGCTCTTAACAGGTATTCTTATATTACAACTGGGCTTTCTAGTTGTGGGTTTGTTTTGCTTGCCTTTTATTTTGGTTTCGTGGGCCTCCTAGTTTATTAAGGTGTCCTCCCGAGCCAGCTGAGGGCTTCGCGAACACAAGATTGGGCCACCTTGATCAAGGGCGTGGGCACGTGATTCATAAAGGCGGTCTCATGGTCCAGAAAAAGGCCTCTTAATGAAAATATTCTTCAAAATAGAAATCTTTGAACCCGATGTTGAGCCCCTAGTTTGCTGTGGGGCTCCTTGATCTGAGTTTTAGTAATTTGCATAAGCTACAAACCCTGTGAGAAACAAGACCTCCAAAACTGCGTTTAGGTAGAAACATACTCTTTCCTCTGCTTACCGGCAAAGTAAGGGGCAACTTTCCCTTCGGTCCCCTGCCTTCTTCGTTAAAAAAACAACACAAGTAGCTCCATTTACGCGTCTTTTGAAATCGAGGCAAAGTAGTAAGTTTGGGTTAAAATTTCCTGAAGCTTCTCCGCAATTGAGTAGTGACATGCTGTCAAATGCAGGATGGTAGCTAACAAGTGGCGTAACTGATTTAAAATCAGCGGCGAGTAGGTACAGCCACATGGATAGCGGATGGATTGGGCAAAGGACACCCTCTCCGCGCACTGGGAAGGTTTCATGGGGATGGAGTGCTTCACGAAGGCCTCTGCTGAACTGGCTGTCACAGTGGCTGTCACGGTGGCTTTCTACACGTAATGCGACTGTCACAACGGGACAGTCTAGACGCGATGTGGCTGTCATACAGTGTTTTTTCTTGACGCAGCGACGTAGGTTAAGGGAGTGTTCCACCTTTGGGGCATGTTTCAAACACTCACTCTAGTGAGACCTCAGGACCAGTTGGGCTAATCTCTGGATGGCGACACTGCGACACCTGCAAGATGTAATGCGACTAATTCTAATTGCATTCGAATCCGAAGTAAGCTGTCAGCTTTCTTTCACAGCACCACGCTTCTCCCTTTCTTGAAAGTCCTAGAGTGCAGCCCGAGTCCGCGACAACTGAAGCTGCCGCGGCTACCGTCGTCATGACGACGACAAAACATGTCGAGGGACGTTGGCAGCTGTCATGGACTAAATATGCCACTCATGAGCTGTTTTAACCCGAACACTGCGAGTCTGCGGGCTTGAGAGTGCCGCTTTTACTGGTATGAATAACGTCAATACCAGTCAGCGTTCGTAGTTGGCACAACGGGGGGGGGGGGGGGGGGGGCGGAGGGGGGCAGTTATGGAATGGCATTTTGGTTGAACTGTGAACAAGTGCGTGTGATGCCCCGCTTCCCAAAGCCAAAAGTGCTTCGAAAAGAGCCATTGTCCGAAACACGATAGGGGAGATATCAGGACTGCAATAGAAGGTTTCAGGGAATTCGCGGGATATTAGCCCCATGTTTGCATATTTTTTCTCTAAAGATGGTATTTCTAGTTTTCGTAGAATTTATTGAACAAGCATTGACAAACTCTTGCATCGCAAACATTTAGAACACATACGTTGGGAAAAGGCAGATGGAACGTATACATTTAGAGTGGTGATCAAAGTCCAATAGTGTTTTTCATGAAAGAGCGGCTGCTTCAAGTGAAAACTATGAATTATCGAGAAGGCTTTCGAGAAAACTGGCGTTGACAATCAGATCGGACAGGTTTGATCACACAATAATTAAAATGTACAAACAACGCGGTATACTTGCGCACGGTTGGCTGTTCTGATGCGACGCGCTCGGGTGTGGGCGAGGGTCAGTTTGACTCCTGAGATCCCTAAAATAAAAAGAGCTAGAAATCCCAAATTCACAGAGTAGGTAAAAATCAATAGGAAATAGTTGTGAAAATATTTTAGATCCTCAGGCTCTGGCATTCAGGTCAACCAAGAACATTGAAAAACTCCAGACTGGTGTCCCATGTGCCTCCCGACATTGCACATGCAACCGCCCTTACCCTACATACCTGCTCTATTCCAAAGGTCACTGGTGCTCATTTCAGATGAGTAACCTTATTTAAATTTTAAAATGTCACGGTGGCCAAAAATGCACTGGGTTATTTTGATGCTTGAATTGAGACAAACATCAAAGATTACGTTAGGCGGCATGGTACCTAAAAACAACAGGCTGATCGGGGTCGTTTTAGGTCACTGATCTCCTTTGACATTTAAAAAGTCCAACTACGATGCCTATTGACATTCCTGTAATCATGAGACTCGAAATTAACACCAAAGACTACTCCATAACTCCAGGTGTTCAGTGAAAAAGCCGCTTAATTTTGACCTCGGTCTGACGTTCATATGTTAGCACGGTTAATGCAGTTAGTCGTAACCCTTCATTCAAATGGCTTGTTATCTTTGAAACCATCTTAGAGATGCATGGCTTCGCCTAACACTCCGTTGTCGCATCAGACTGAACGATTACCCAGGGATTGCCTCTGCTGACAGTTATGACCTGACCTTCACCTGACAGATGTCGGCGACCCTACAAGGTACACACATTTGTGCACCAAAATATCTGCTATTCAATTGGCAACAGCTATGCAAACCTTCGGCGGTTGCGCCACGTAAATTCATCTGGAAAAACCTTAAGTGGCCAAATTGACCCCCTGCCACTTCACCCGAGCGCGTGTTTTGACAGCATGACTGGCAGCGCCTTTGGCCAGGTTCTGGAGGGGGAATGACGTCACCTGGCTGTGACTGAACACATCTGATACCTGTTTAACGTGGGAACGCTGTCAACAAAACAACGGTTGGACACGTGCGAAACGCTGCGGACGGGTTGACAGAACATGCACTTTTGTGTAAACGTATTGTGCTGCTCGGTACTGGACGTTTTACAATCAAGTAGTTCTTTGATCTTTCTCATAAAACGAGACATTGCATAACCCAGCACTTTCCATCATTGATCGCACTTCTGCATTTTTCTGGCAGCCACGAAAAAGCAGCCGGTATGGTCGGCCATCTTGGAGGGTGGGCAGAGACGCGGTATCTCGTGCAGGCGGACAGGTGAGCAGTCAGCGGCGGTGAGCGCCTCCAAAACGGCTCCGGGAGTCAGGGAAACAGATGGGAACCGTACGTCATCCAGCTGGTAGAATGTGTTCCCCAGAGCGCCCTGCAACACATGCAACACGGCGAACGTTGCGAAGCGAGCGCGAGACAGGCTCGCACAACAGCGATGCAGTGTCTGCGGCTAAATACATGGGGCGTATCGGAACATTCTGTTCTTCACCTAAACATACGAAAAGCTGCGTCATTCCCCTCCCACTCATCTGATGTCTATGCCATAACCTTCTGATCCGTTAGTTTTTTTTTGCCAAAACTTGTTGTTTTGCGATGTGAAAATTCCGTCAAGTTTTGGCCTCTAAGAAAATGTTTCGCACTCAAAGCAAGATATATAGAGAGATATAGCAAGAGATGTCAAGATATGAATATATATATATATATATATATATATATATATATATATATATATATAGATAGATAGATAGATAGATAGATAGATATAGATATGTAGCAAGATATATGAAAGCAAGCATCATATATGATGCAATAAGCTCACTTATGACTAATGGAGTGCTGTTAGTGGAAAATACTGTTCTAGACAACACAGCTTCCCCGTTGAGCAAGTGCGCTCCCCAATACGTCATTGTTTGATGACGTCATCGTATCTTTCAAAACAATGATTGAAAGCCAGTGGGCGGCCGTAATGTCTAGAAATCGTGATCACGAGCGTCAAATATGGACGGCTCGACAAGTATATTTTTCTTGGCATTAATCGTCGCATGGCCAACAGAATGTCAAGATTTGAATGACGTTACTATGGTGTCATGGGTAGCTGGGTGAATTGAATTAGTCTCCCCAAAACAGTATGCACATCATTGCGGGCGTGTACCTCACAAACTAGAGGGGTCTAGGTCTTTAAAAGGGCTGGGGTGTGAACAGCATTGAGTGATCTTGAAGATGGATATTTCCATTAAAAATCCCATGCGAAACACCCCCTTTGACATGGGCCAGGCGGTGCGTGAATTGCGGAAGTGCCATAGATCGCAGTTATGACCGAATTTCTGCGGTGCAAAATTTGTTCTAGGCTGGAAACCGCCTCACCGAATTTTAACTGTGTTGTGCTTCTGGAAGAAGCAAACCTACACAACTCTTCTTACTTAATTTCTCTAACTTCTGAGACGTTATCAGCCTTGTGTTTTGCCAGTTAAGCAGCCATTGTTACGTAACACGTGTCCGGGTGGCCAGTTGGATACACTTTGCTCGGGTGAGGGTGGGGGCTATTCGACCCGCCGACCTCTCAGGAGCTAAGAGAGCTAGAAACACCAAATAAGCAAAGTGTATTGACCTGTACGTGAACGCACCTATCTCAATTTTGAGGTTCTTCGATCATGATCTTCATGCCAAACGACCTTCATCTCAAACAAGGTCAAACAAGGTCAAACTCCAAGTTGGTCTCCAAAGTGTCTCCAAAACCTGATGTCTAGAAAACCTAGATGCCTGAGAAGCAAAAAGTCACATTCTCATTTAGGGTCAGTCACCTTATCTGACATTTCAAAGGTCATGGTTACCAAAATCATGCAAGACTGCTTTGATTTTTACAGTTGACAAAGAGACAAAGATTACGCTGGGGAGAGTGATCGCTAAAACAAAATGCTGACCTGGGTCATTTGAGGTCAATGCCCTATTCGTACCTCTTAGACGTCCGTGGGAGATGTTAAATGCGGTGTTGTTGTCACTACATTTGAGATGAGCACCAGAAAGTACACCATACAGCAAGCACTAGAATGATAAAACAGGTTGATTTTGACCTTGGTCTGACCTTCATACCTGACCATAGGCCAACGGAATTTGTTAATTCAATTATCGTGTTGTCTAAGAAAGTGTCTCAGAGATGTATGGCATCATCTAACACTCCGTTGCTTCATTAGATTGAGCGACTCCCTAGAAATTGACTTTGCTGAATCCATGGCCTGATTTTGATCTGTCGTAGATCAGTGACCTTACCAGAAACATCTAAATTAGTGGCATCGCACGATGTGCCATTCAGTTGTCTACGGCTATGCAAAATTTAGCGCGGCTACGCCGCGTGGTTCGGAAACCATTGCGAAAAGATATTCGGAGGCGGTCAATTTGACCCCTTACTCGAGCGCGTGTTAAGCTACCTAGTGAGACGTTGAGCACCATAGGAGGTAAGACGGCCAGATCGCAAAACGATCTTTATGCAAAGTAAGACGCAGCAGCTTAGGTCATGTACTGCCACCTGCATCATTCATGATGTTGCCAGCGTTTTTGAAGATGTTTTGCGTAATATGTGATTAGTTGATGCGGCATGGCGCCTCCTTTGCTGACATACCATGATTCTGTGGGCTGCCTGTGGGATGCAACGATGTCCCTGCATACACTAGGCCCGATGGTGCATGCCATTTATCGCTGACCAGCACCGCAGCACGAGGCCATGTGTGCTAATCCGCGGTGCCGACCTGAAACGGGTACCCACCTGCATGATCAGGTACCCCCCGGGCTTAACCAGCGTCGATACAGCGAGCACCGCCCGACGGTACTGGTCCAGGTCAGAGGAGGCGAATTCTAGGCACAGGCTGCTCACCACCACGTCATACCTGCGAAAACAGCTGGAGATCACCCGAGAGGAACCCTCAGCCGACATCGTGCAAGCCTATTCCTCTGGCATGGTCGGCATGACCTGTGTCGATAATAAGGTTTCAATCAAGCCTGATATACTTGTGATGGTGTTCACGTATTGGAACAGCCTGATACCTCCATTTTACCTTTGTTAAACACGCGGACAACTCGCCCCAGCAAACCTGATTCCGCGTCTCTTCAAATCCGCCTCTCCACACAAACGATTCAGTATCGCTGAGGACCAAGGGATTTCCAGTCTGAAAACCACACCGGAATACCTAACAGCACAGACGTCAGCAATGGCGAGTTCTCGCAGCCATTCTCGAGTCTCGGGACGAGTTGCAACCTGCTGCTACCGCTGAATCAAACCAGGGGTGCCGAACACAGTGACACATTCCACTGCATCCGAAGTGCAGTTGCATCATTTTTTCGTTCACTAACCAGATATTGCAAAAGGCTATGCACGGTCGGTACATGATATACACGGCATGGCATACAAGATGTTTTATGCACTCAAACACAAGTATAGCCATTCTCGCAGCCATTCTCGAGTCTCGGGACGAGTTGCAACCTGCTGCTACCGCTGAATCAAACCAGGGGTGCCGAACACAGTGACACATTCCACTGCATCCGAAGTGCAGTTGCATCATTTTTTCGTTCACTAACCAGATATTGCAAAAGGCTATGCACGGTCGGTACATGATATACACGACATGGCATACAAGATGTTTTATGCACTCAAACACAAGTATAGAGAGAGAGAGAGAGAGAAGAGAGGAGAGAGGGGAGAGAGAGGAGAGAGAGAGAAGACAGAGAAGAGAGAGAGAAGAGAAGAAGAGAAGCGGAGAGAGAGAAGAGAGAGAGGAGAGAGAGGAGAGCGAGAGAGATGAGAAGAGAGGAGAGCGGAAGCAGGAGAGAGAGAGAGAGAGGCGATGTCTATCTATATACTTCCCTTATATATATATATTTGTATATAATTCTTATCTATATATATATATACATATCTATCTATATATAATCATATATACCTACAACTATCTACTATATATCTTACTCTCATATATTCCCCACATATCATCATATATTATATATCATATATATATATAATAGATCTATGGGGTCTCCCGAGAGGCTGTCGCTGAACACTGTTCGAATGGGGGGCGCCCGAAGGTGGTCCCTGATCACCTGTTCGACGCGGTCTCCCCGAGAGGCTGGTCGCTGAGTACGTCGGCTGGCTGGACATGTTCGACCTTGACCCTGACGCGCTTCGCCAGCTCGCCGGGGGTCAGCCCGCCCCCCTCCAGCGCGGCTACATGACGTAGATGAGGGGTCCAATCCAGGTGTCCTTCAGCTTCGGTCAGCCAAGCCGATACGGCTTCCCTGTAAGTTGCGCAGGGTGATTATGAGCGAAATGGAACTGTGAATAGCATTCTTTTCGTTCGCGACATTGATCGAAGCGCACGATTATAGCCAGGTGGGTGCCTCAGCGGGTGCTGCATTCAGTACAGACATCGTTGTTTGACAGCGTGACCTGAACATGACCCGAACACACGTGACTCAACGAACTCGGAAATATAAGGAGAACTAATAACCTTTTCAACATATGACGACTAACTGACGATCATTAGAGAAGGTAGAAGCTCTTCCCTTTGGTATTCGGCCGGCAAATAATCTGGGACAATTGCTTAGAACGTTCTGAAAATTATCGTGAATGGTGTTTGCCACCGCGAAGTCTTAAAATAACCTTAGATAATAATTAGTGCTCAGAGGCCAGTTTTAGAAAAATATTATGTCGCTCCTTGCCAAAAAAGTAGCTCCACCCAAAAAATGTCATCCGCTTACCAAGTTTTATAAACGGTCCTGACAGCCGACGTAAATTTCACCGTCGACGGCTTTTTTAGACTCAAAATCGGCTGTTGCCTGTAAAAATTGCCAGATGATATCGTACCGCAAACGAACATCTTTTATTTTTACGATGATCGATTATGCTCATTGAGACCGACAAACAGCTTTTGTTGTTACCAATTAGGTGCAACAAGTGTCTGTTGTGTGCAATTTGCATTTTTGTTCCGCAATAACATTTTAACATCTATATTCAGAACAACTTTCTACCCAAGCAGTACGCAGTGGTCGAAGGTATACAGGAAGATATAGCTCGGTGAAACTTTTGCGTTTTTTGACTTGTTAAAAAAGGCATGAAGCATTCCGAGTCGCGTAAAAAAACAAATACATTAATGGCTATGATGAGTAAAGAGATGAGATAAAGCAAGTGTGGTAAGTAACTCATTGGTAAAATCCTTTGCTGAGATACATGTCGCATCTGAATAAAATAGTACCGCATGGGTACGCGCTTGGGCATTGGTCGCTGTTCTGTCCACCTTTGCATGAAGTTGTGTTGAGGAATCTGAGCTGCCTGAACAACGTACTTGGAGCACCGCAGAAAACTTCGTTTGAGAGGGTCAGCCCACGTCTAGGGGAGGTTAGGGAGTGGTCATCCCCCCCCCCCCCCATTCAGTTTGCTGGCTAGAAGTGAATACTCAACCGCAAGCATACAACACGTAATTCAATGAAAACAACGGCATGTATACTTTGAATACATTGCCCAGTTATTATCTTATTGGTGAAATATTGCACGCCAAATTGCGGGAAATGGCGTTTGAATTATGGTACCATGCGGTAAGGCACCTATTTACTACCATTGACTGAAATCCGATGGCATCTGCTCCCCCCCCCCCCCCCCCCCCCCCCCCACCTTGCCCGATTCATCTCCTGGTTTAATGACATCGCTTGCAGCCCCGCTTACAAATATTTCACCGCTTGGCGCATGCCTACACGGTACCTACCTACCAAGGAATACACCTGGGAATCCCTTCATCCTCCCCTGATCTCCCCAGAACCAACTTACCTTGGTGGCAGAGAAATCGGTATTCTTCAAATACTTCATCTTTTTTAGAAGAAAAATATCCACCGCGAGCGTTTTATGCGCAGTGTGAAACGGGCATAATCAGCTCGCGTTAGCAGAATTGCCCAACTTTGAAATCATACAACACAAGTCTCTAGCACCAAATATAATGAAGAGGCAGTTAGCATTATTCCCTCCGTCGTTTCGACCATTGCTACTTACAATGCTTCCAAGATTGCCTATCATCTTCAAGAAATTAACATCTGACAATATTATAATTTTGGCAACAAACCAGTAACCTGATTTTTAACACGCACAGCAGACGATTTATAACATGTACTAAAAGGGCAATATAATCACCAAATCACGGACATACCAGCAACCAAGAGAAGTACCCCAGTTCTTCACCTTCGTGTCTCAAATTCTCTGTTGGTGCGCTTGACGTTCGTACATATCATAATTCTGATCATTTTTATCAAATATCTGATAATTACGGCCCATCGCGCGCAGACCAGAAAGGCGCCCACACCCTCACCTTATTATTGCATTTCTTGCACCTCATAAATGATTTCCAGTTGTGAAACTTGAATTGATATTTTCAGATGGACAACACAGGCGGAGAGCCAACAATGCCGGCTGAAGGGAAACACTTCCAGCAACCTTATCAAAACGGACCAAGCCCCGGAAACCGAACACCGAAGCAAAGCCAACGTTTTCGGTACGGTATGGTACGGTACATACGTCTATTAGCGCAGTGCATCTCATACACGGGTCCGGGTAATACAATTCACACTTATTAGAACTAAACACATTTTGCTGACAATGTCGCTTAAGCTAGGACATTTCAGTTCAATTAATATGACTACTCCATTGCCGTGAGATGCTGCCATCATGTCGTGCGGAGGGACTGTAGCAGCACGCTCTTAAAGTAGTGCACCTCTTGTATAATCTCAATAAGCGAGACATGAAATCGCTCTGACGTCCAGAGACATACTCTGCTGAGCTAATATGCCAATAGCAATCCTAAGGAAACGGACCATGCCCCGGGAACCGAAGATGCCGCGGGAACCGAAGACTGAAGCAAGGCCAGCTTTTCGGTACGGCACATATACGTCTATTAAGCGCAGTGCACATCATACACGAGTCCGGACAATGCGATTTACACATATTAGAGTTAAACACATCGTGCTGACAATGTCGGTTGAGCTGCAACACCTCGGTCCAATGACTATGAGTCATGCATTGTCGTGAGATGCCGCCATCATGTGCGGACAGACTGTAGCAGCACCCTCTTAAAGTAGTGCACCTCTTGCATGAGTTCGATTGGCGAGATCTGAAAACCACTCTGACATCCAGAGACATACTCTACCGAGATGCTTTGCCAATGACAATCATAAGGATACGGACCAAGCCTCGGGAACCGAAGACAGAAGCAAAGCCAGCGTTTTCGGTACGGTAAATATGCGTCTATTAGCGCAGTGTGCATCATACAGGAGTCCGCATAATGCGATTCACACTTATGGGAAATAGGCACATCGTGCTTACAACGTCGGTTGAGCTGTAAGACTTCCGTCCGATGAATAAGCCTCATGCATTGTCGTGGCATGCTACCATCAGGTCGCGCGGAAGAACTGTAGAAGCACCCTCTTAAAGAAGTGCACCTCTTGCATCAGTTTGATTGGCGAGACCTGAAAACCACTCTGACATCCAGAGACATATCGTAGCGAGATAATATGCCGACAGAAACCCCAAGGAAAGAAGTCAAGCCCCGGGAAGCGAAGAACGAAGCAATGGCAACGTTTTCGGTACAGTACATATATGTATATTGGTGCGGGGCACCTTAAACAAGAGTACCTATAATGCGATTCATACTTACTAGAAATAAACACACAGTGCTGACAATGCCGGTTGAGCTACAACACTTTGGTTCAGTGAGTAAGACTCACGCATTGCCGTGAGATGTTGCCATCATGCGTGGACGGACGGTAGCAGCACCCTCTTAAAGTAATACGCCTCTTGTATAATTCCAATTGGCGAGACCCAAACACCGCTCTGACATCCAAAGACATACTCTACCGAGATAATGTGCCAACAGCAATCCTAAGGCCACGGACGAACCTCCGAAAACCGAAGACCGAAGCGAGTCCAACATTTTCGGTACGGTACATGCATGTTTGTAGGCGCAGCGCACCTCACACACGATCGAAATATCTCGGTAGAGAATGTTCTTGGATGCCAGAGCCGTTTCCAGGTCTTGCCAACTGAAATAATGCAAGAGGCACACTACTTTAAGATAGTGCTTTTACGGTCCGTCCGCCCAACATGATGGTGACATCTCACGGCAATGCATGAGTCTTGTTCATTGAACCAAAGTCTTGTAGCTCAACCGACATTGTCTGCACGATGTGTCTACTTCTAGCTAGTGTGAATCACACTATAAGGACTGGTCCTTCAAGTGCCCCGCGACAATTAACGTATATGTACCGTACTGAAAGCGTGGTATTTCCTTCGGTCTTCGCTTTCCCGGGCTTGGCTTATTTCCTTGGCATTGCTGTTGGCATATTATCTCGGCAGAATATGTCTTTGGATGTCAGAGCGGTGTTTAGGTCTCGCCCATTTGAATTATACAAGAGGTGTACTACTTTAAGAGGGAGCTACTACAATCCGTCCGCACGACATGATGGCGGCATCTCACGACAATGCATGAGTCATAGTCATCGGACTGAAGTGTTGCAGCTCAGCTGGCATTGTCAGCACGATGTGTTGCCTTCTAATAAGTGTGAATTGCATTATCCGGACTCGTGTATGAGGAGCGCTGCGCTAAAAGAAATATATGTACTGTACCGAGAGCGTTGGCTTTGTTTTGGTCTTCGGTTCCCGGGGCTTGGTCCGCATCCTTAGGATTGCTGTTGGCATATTATCTCAGTAGAGTATGTCTCTGGATGTCAGAGTGGTTTCAGGTCTCGCTGATTGGAATTTCTGGACGGTATATCCTTGCGCTTCTCGCCGCACATTTTGGTTATACAGTTCGATGGAGGAAAATCACTGCCGACGACGGAGGACTTTCGTGGAGGGTAATTTTTTGCCCCGAGCTTTGGAAAACTCGGAGCAGGAAAATCTGAGAAAAATTTCCTCCGCTGACGGTATTTTTCAATAAAACTGGCCTCAGGGTACGTAATCGGAGCTCTCATGGAGCGTAATCTAATGAGACATCATATAAGCACCTAAATCAATGCCACACAAACTACGAAAGGACTACTGAAGTACCTTGTACGAACGTGCTAATGCCACAATGCCACAAAAGTGCTAAGGACGTACCATGAAAGTACCACCAAGGTGCACCACGCAGATACCACAAGTGTACTATGAGAGGACCAGAAAAGCACAGTAAATGTCCTTCGAAATACCGCGAACGTCCTACTGAATTACTACCAGAGTGCCACGGAAGCACCATCAAGCACCACCCAATCTAATTTCAATCTTGTTTTGTCTACAAAATCACTGCACTAAATAACTTAGCCTAAAACTACGTTGCCGCATCATATTGAACGATGCCAAAGGAATTTTTCGCCAACAGGCCTGGCTTGAATTTAACATGAATACATGGAAACTAGGTCCAACATCCACCCAGGAAGAGGGCAACATCATCTTCTTGCCCATCCCCCTGCTGCGCCGTCCCTGACCGCGACTTAAAAGGAAACAGCAATTCACATGACTGAAACAGCTTCCACGCGACGATAATCCACAGTGGCCTCCGCGCGCACCTGTTTGCCGGAACGAAGTCGGCCATGGTGATGTGCTCGCTCCAGCGGGACGCGGACAGGACGGCCGTGATGGTGGGGCCGCAGCCCACCTCGAGCACGTGCCTCCCGACACAGCCAGGCAGGCCTGCGGGTGCCAACAGCGCCAAGTCATCAGCGGAGGAATCCAGCGGCCAAACGGCATCTGCTCCTCATCTAGCGCCTATTGTCAAGTGCACGGCGCACCTACTCCTCATCTAGCATGTATTGTCAGGCAGTGCACGGCGCATCTGCTCCCCATCTAGCGCGTAATGGCAGGCAGTGCACGGCACATCTGCTTCTCATCTAGCGCGTATTGTCAGGCAGTGCACGGCGCATCTGCTCCTCATCTAGCGCGTATTGGCAGCCACTGCACGGTGCATCTGCTCCTCATCTAGCGCGTATTGTCAGACAGTGCACGGTGCATCTGCTCCTCATCTAGCGCGTATTGTCAGACAGTGCACGGCGCATCTGCTCCTCATCTAGCGCGTATAGGCAGGCAGTGCACGGCACATCTGCTCCTCATCTAGCACGTATTGTCAGGCAGTGCACGGCGCATCTGCTCCTCATCTAGCGCGTATTGTCAGGCAGTGCACGGTGCATCTGCTCCTCATCTAGCGCGTATTGTCAGGCAGTGCACGGCGCATCTGCTCCTCTTCTAGCGCGTATTGTCAGGCAGTGCACGGTGCATCTGTTCCTCATCTAGCGCGTATTGTCAGGCAGTGCACGGCGCATCTGCTCCTCATCTGGCGCGTATTGTCAGGCAGTGCACGGCGCATCTGCTCCTCATCTAGCGCGTATTGTCAGGCAGTGCACGGCGCATCTGCTCCTCATCTAGCGCGTATTGTCAGGCAGTGCACGGTGCATCTGCTCCTCATCTAGCGCGTATTGTCAGACAGTGCACGGTGCATCTGCTCCTCATCTAGCACGTATTGTCAGGCAGTGCACGGCGCCTCGCGCGTGGCGATGTCACCAGCCGACAGTATGCTTCACACACCGCTGACAGTGACATGCAGTTGTTTCTTTTGCTTGTCGTATTTTGCGCGGGAGAGATTTCCTCACGACACGTCTTCTTGGTGTCGATTCCCCTGCTACTGGTGCAGATTCCCCTGCTCCCCTGTGCACCACTGCCCGCGCACTCGTTCCGGCCATGACGTGAGCACCCCCAGGCGTTTTGAACACGTGCTGTGAACCACTGACGTGTCTGGGGGTGGGGAGGGGTAATGTAGTAAACGGCGCGAGCAGCGGTGCACAGCGTCGTGGCGCCACCAGGTGACGCTGCGCGTGTGACAGTGCCCGCAAGGTGACGCTGCGCGTGTGACAGTGCCCGCAATATTCATCTCTGGTGCTTCTAGGTACCGTTTTTTATATTGGCGTGTTTCTTTCCTGCCATTCCTCGGGCGTTTTATCTGACCGCTCAATCGCTGTGCTTCTTACGGATCGCACATATTTCTATTTCGATTATGTACATAAACTTTAATCAACGCAGGCAGTGGGACGGGCGCTCGTTTCACTCACCTTCAGCGAATATGACATGGAGCTGCTCAAGGAAGAACTGCATCTCCGCGTCCACCTCTGCGTAGTACGTCCTGTGATAGCTAACTGGGTCAAACCTCGCGTACAGCTCCCGCACCTCGCCCATACCGCAGCCCCACAGTGCCCCTCTAGTGCCGCTGAGAAGCCGAGCGTCGTCCGGCCGCCGCTGGCACTCTTCCGCGAATGGCGCTACGTGAGCACCGCTGTCAATATATCCCGGTCGTTTCTTCGGCGCTGTTGACGGTCCCCGTCCCATGCCGACGCGATAAGCGCCCCGCGCTCTCTATCCCTCCGTATACGGGCCGATACGCCCACGGGCGGGCTCGTTGAATATGGAGCCCAGCCGGCACCCCGTGAGCGAGTGTCGGGAGGCAGTGCCGATAAGGCTGGTGGGCCTATGCTTCCCTCAGGGGACCATGGGCACGGCGCTGGGTGGCAGAGCGGTAAGTCAGCTCCCCACATCATCTGGACTCTTGATTCTGGCATCTGCGGTGGAGTAATAGACGGCGTTTTGAAACTAGCCGTCCACCGCATTCTATGGCCAGCTAACATCCTTTTCGGAATGATTTGAATTAAATCATCAGTCCTTTACTGCAGCCAGGATTCCGATCGCCACAGCAGGTGTTCCGGAGGGGATGGTCTGTGATCCTTAACGCGATGCTTTTGACGGTCATAGAGCACTTCACCGACTGGACCAATTCGCAGATTGAGGATGGATCCTTGGAACAGGTCGGACCGGACAAGCCGCTTTGGGATACACCAGAATTCGTGCTGGACTGGATCTCAGAGTGTGCTGGGCCACACATATTCAGCAATGGAAAATGAGATCTGTTTCAAAAGACGGTAACCGGATTCACAATCAGCACAATCTGCAGGCTGAAACCGTCCTTCGATTGGGGCTGCAGGCCTCTTCTTCTTCAGTAAACGGGACTCACGTTGTCTTGCCCCTATTCTGGAGCGCCATTGACTACACTGACCACAATGACGCTCAAGGGCCACAGCGCAACCGGTACCCGAACCCTGGTCCCAGCGTGACAGTCCGAAGCACTATCCACCAGGCCATCACGCTCCCTCAACATCAATCCTAAAAGGAAATGTCGGGTTCATTTGTGGGTTATGGAGACGCATCCTTCGTTATTGATGTAACCATGTCACTAAGTGGAACATCCCACGAAAAGAGGCTGCTGTCTAAGACTGACAGCAGCTTGATAGGTGGTTTTCAACTCATTATCCTTCAGCTATACAGGTGCCAAGGAAAGCTATAGCTTATTGCTGGGTATGTACTTAAATAAAGGTAAACCAGTACACATAACCCAATTATTAATAAACTTATTGACGATAGTCAGTAACCATTGGATCTTGTACGTTTTAAGTAAACATTCACCTAGTATTGTAATAAAACGAGCATTAACACGCGCCCGGGGTGGATACCCCTTGCTCGGGTGGCGGGTCAATTTGACACCTATGAGATCTGAGAAACTAAGAGAGCTAGAAAACACCAAATGTACAAGGCGTTTGGGCCTGTACCTGAACTCACTCCAGTCAAGGTTTTAGGCTGTTAGGCCATGACCTTCGGTTCAAATAAGGTCAGACAGGGTCAATTTCCAGGTTGGTCTCCAAAGTACCCCCCGAACCTCGATACCTGTTCTCAGCAAAAGATCACATCATCATTCAAGGTCAGTGACCTTGTTTCAGCTTTCGAAGGTCACGGTGGCCAAAATCATACAAGACCGCTTTGAGGTCTGCATTTGAATAAGCGACAAAGATTACGCTGGAGAGTATGTTCCTAAAAACAAAATGCTGACCTGGGTCATTTCAGGCCACTTACCCATTATGACATTTGAGAAATTCATGGAAGATGCATAATGCGGTTCCTGTTGTCAAAAACATCCGAAATGAGCATCATAAACTACCCCATAAAGCAAGCCTTAGAGCAATAAAACAGATTAGTTTTGACCTTGGTCTTACCTTCAAAACCAACCCTGGGTCGATGGGATCTGCTCGTTCAATTGTTGCGTTGCCTGAGAAAGTATCTCCGAGATGCATGGTCTCGTCTAATACTCCATTGCTGCATCAGATTGAACGATTCCCTAGAAACTGACTTTGCAGGATCCATCCTGGATCCATCCAGGATCCATCCTGAATTTGACGGTACAAGGAACATCCAAATTGTTAATACCAAACTATCCGCTATTCAACTGTCTACAACTTCAACTTGGCGCGGCTGCGCGGCACCGTTCGGAAACCATTCTGAAAAACCTTTGGGGGAGTCAATTTGAACCCCACCCGAGCGCGTGTCAAAGGTCTGCACGCATTCCACCTTTGCTTTTTTGTGCTCTGTTATCGACACCAGTAAACCTTCCATAATATTACATGTCAATACTGAAATATGTGGCATCTCTCCAAGTTGCGCGATGATTGAAACTGGGCTCTAGGAAAGACATGAGGGAAAATCGAAATGCTGGTTGGTTTTCCCGCCTCAGAACTGAAACTCAAGGCTTTCAACAACTTGCTATTACCCATGCCCTTGAATAAGATATGCTTTGCACCACGAATGCGTAGACAGATAATATGCCACCCCAGTTTCCGAACGTAAACCTCCACTGATATTACTTTCATTTTTAGCTTTAACTTACCTCATAACTTAACTCATTATTTCATCAAACTTACCTTATTCAGCGACAAAGGGAAGCGGATTATTCCTGCGTATTTCAAATAAGTCTGTCGGCCACTTTACAAAAGGGAGACCGGGAAAACCACCCACATGTAGTGTTACGTCAATATAGATAACGAAGCAAGAACAATCATAGTCAGCAAGGAAATGCCATTTCAAAGAATTCAAAACTGTCCATTGAATTAAAATGCCGCTCCGTACATAGACATGCACATGCTACTCTGATAATTAACAGCCTGCCTCTGAAAATGCGACGCTACGATCAACTTGGGTTAAAACAGGGACAAATAATAAAGCAGGCACCGTAGGACGTAAAGGCATAGCCGCAGATTACTATGTATCTGCACTAATTGACCCGAATATGAGATCACTTAAGTGCGAATTTCCATGATGGCTGATTTCTATGAGTATGCGCATGGACGTCCAGGCACATCATCTTCTGAGCCTCCTGCGATCGATGAACTTTTAATTTGACATCACTTTGCCATAAAACTTCAAAGCAGATCCATAAAGATCCAAATGGTATACAAATATCAAGAATATGTGCGTATATATCACATAGACCATAACAACAAGACAGCTTTTTTTGGCTGAGCATGTTGTTGCCGAGCCGAGCATGTTGTTGCCGAGCATGTTGTTACGGTACCAGTTGATAGTCCTTATACAACGCTATCAAATGCACGCTGCTGCTTCGAGCGGATGATGGTAAATGCTGTTTCCAACACCTGTCATATTTTGCCACCATGCCCCGGCCGACCTGGCACATTCTGTAATGGGCTGTCAAGTTGTCACAATCCCAAGATCTCAATAAATTCCAAGAAAATAGGTGCTGCCAACCACGACCATGCTACAGCGCCAGATGTTAACGTTTCGCGACTGAAATTAAATGTCGACGGCTGCTCAGTCATGCACGGTTATAAAGACGCCGCACACGGCTGCTCCAACGCAGACGATGGCCAATATTGTCTCTATCTGTCGTATTTTCCCCACCGTGCCGCAGCCGGCCTGGTGCATCCTGTAATGCGCTGTCAAGTTGTTATATTAATAACACAGGGGCTGTCGGCCGACGGCCAGGCCACGGTTCCACGTGCAGTCGGCCGACGACCAGGCCATGGTTTCAGGGGCTGTCGGCCGACGACCAGGCCATGGTTCCAGGTGCTGCCGGCCGACGACCAGGCCATGGTTTCAGGTGTTTTCGGCCGACGACCAGGCCACGGTTCCAGGTGCTGTCGGCCGACGACCTGGCCACGGTTCCAGGCGTTGTCGGCCGACGACCAGGCCACGGTTCCAGTTGATAACAATTCCAAAGTGAAATCGAATGCTCGCGGTCGCCAAGCAAGGCACAGCTGTAAACATGCTTGAAATGATTGTCGCATTTAAACACGATGATCCGGCCTGCTGCCCGCATTCAGTAATGCGTTGTCAGGGGACATGCCGATGAAGGATATGCCGTTAGCGCCTATCATGCTACGTTGTCGGTTGATAGCCTTCTCAAGTTACTAGGGGGTGCAGACGGTGGCACTTCACGCGCATACGCGCACATTTTTTTTAACGCTACTGTAGATCGGCAACCAAGCACCGGCCATTCGCCACCATTCAGACATGCGCTGTCGGGGCGCCCCAACAGTAAATGGCTCCATCAGCGCAAGCTCCGCGGATCATGATACACACACACACACACACACACACACACACACACACACACACACACACACACACACACACACACACACACACACACACACACACACACACACACACACACACACACACATATATATATATATATATATATATATATATATATATATATATATATATATATATATATTAAGTCAATGCACCTTTTCGCTATCACCATAGACAAACAGGACTAAATAGGACTACAGCTGTCCGTCAGTACGTGAAAGCCGCCGCCATCTTGGTAAATACATCAAGCGGTCTGCGCAGTTTACCTGGTACGTTGGAGGGGGCCCATATTTGGTGATGGTGGCACTTCGTTGCTTTATGGCTTTCGCTGGATATATTGCGCGCCAGCATGGTCTCTGGGCGCCACAGATGTACCCAATTGGTCATTGCTTTGTGTTTTGACGGCTATAGGTGGTGACGGAGGCAGTCGAAGGCGCCAATCAGGCCGCGTGGTTTCCTTTTAGGGGAACATTTATGGTCTAGAGTGGGTCATTGCTTCCAAAGTTTCTTAATTTAAAGGCATCTTTCAGCTTCTTGCCTGAGGTGTCTGAATTTCTGCATTCAGTTTTACTAGTTGAGTATCTTTTCAATGCTGTACATTAAGAATACTGTAATGACCAATTTTTGCTAAAATACCTCCCTGCCTGGTTCTTGGATGGTATACGCACGTAAGCGGCAAGTTATACACAATGCACAGTGCCCGCTGCTTCGCCTCTGCAACAAACAGTGCATTCAATGCTGCGTCAAAATTCTGGTATTGTTCTGTTGCCCGTTCTTAATGCAGTTTTC